GTGGCAGGAACTCGCAATGAACGATCCAACACATCGAAGAATCTGATCAACATGACTTTGACTTTGAAGTCCAACTGCCGTGCTTTTTTCCTCCTTGGCGACATCAAACTTTTTCACTGAAAAGTCTATGTTCTCTGGTCTCCGTGGGAAGAAGAACATCGCCGTGCTAAAGCAACCTCCCTACTCACCAGACCTGAGCGCATGTAAAATTTTATCTTTTAAAAGCTTAGGGTGATCATCAAGGTGGGCACGTTTTGAAAACCTTGACGACCTCAAATAGTCGTGACGACAGAGCTGCAGAGGATTCCGGAAGTATCCTTTCGGAAAGGCATGCAGGCGTGGCGGAGCAGGAGATCCACCTTAATTAGACACCAGGGGCTAACTTTGAAAGCGAAAACGTCTGGTGTAAAGTTTGGATTTGAACTGGATCATTTGTGACGATAGTTCTAGTAAATTTCTATAGATCATGTATTCGGTTTTAAAATGAGACTTATATATCCACTAACATTGTCACTGCTGCTTGTGAAGTTCCAATGTTAACCTATTTCATTCCAATGAGATCGCCTGTCCAAAACGCCAGCCAACTGGGTACCCCTATGCAATCAGCAGAAATGTGATATGAAATTGTTAATAAGGCCTGTTAGCCAAGTTCAAAACCGTTCCTCTATCCACTAATCTTGAGTTCGCAATAATGATGACACGCCTACTTTCGTGTAACACAATAAAGATCAGATCAGAATAAGGACTGATTTTTAAGGTTGTTCATTATCTATATAACAAAACACACGCAACCAACTAAAATGCAGATGCTTATTTCTTTCAGCACTTGACGATATTCTGGCTTAGCTATTTCTACCAGACTACTTACAATTACGCCTGAGAAGCATACGTGAAGAGTTATCCGCATTGAATATACTTAGTGTATGCCTGCGAATGAAAGACTCCACAAGAAACTACCAAGTACTTAGGCATAAATACTGCATCCCCAAAGGCTTTATCCCTTTTGCGACGTTTGCGTCTTGGGAACTGGTTAGTTAAACTTCTTCAATTTATCTAAACGTGTACTCTAACAAGTTGTGAATACCAGCCAGCTATTCGACTATATCACCAGGACTGTCTCCCTGCGTGAAACACGACAAGATTTATGCATGATGATGGTAAGATCTACTCTAAAGTATTGTATTATCATTCTTGGCTAATTGAGAAAGAAACATGGAATAGTTATGGAAATTGTCCAGTGACTATTTACTAAACTAGTCACGAGTTGCCGCTCAATCCGGAGTACTTATGAGCGTTGTCGTCCTTGGATTTCATTTGGCTGAGACAACTGGAAAACAATGTCCCCGTTCTCCTCAACAACATGGATAAACTCGTTTGCACAATAAGTACCGTGAAGGAACTTCGAAAAGCCGCTATCTATCCCACCCGTAATGGTAACTACCTTCTATTCTGAACCTGTAAGGGACAAAATCAGAGCAACCTTCGTATTAGTGAAACATGCCAGACTGAGCAGCAAACTGCCACTGCAACTACGCGCGAATTCGAAAGTCTAGAGACTTTTCGCGCTATATATACGAACAGCTACAAGACTACGGTCAACTTGTTCTCTCTTTATCTTTACCCGTATAATGAAACTTATGCCTATGTAACATGCGCTTCCCCATTCTAAGGGTTGACTCCTCACTAGGTTCGCTACAAAGCAAATCTGGAATCAATGATACAAATATCGTATCCACTTATCGTCTCCACTTATCGTATTTTGGTCAAACGCGTATTGTGGTAACTCTTTTAGGTTGCGGAGTTCCTGGATTAATAACCCGTCATTCTTGGATGCCAAAAGGGATTGAAAACGTGTATTACCATGATTGTATTTTGGGGCTCCCAGATGTTGTACACCAGGTGGTCTAGAGTCAGCCGGCGATTCAGAAAGGAATGTTGGTCGATGTTGAAGTATATAAGGTGTTTGAAAGAATAGTCGATACAGCTGGTGATGTTATCAGCTGACCGGAAGGTTGTGTAGTAAAGCGTAAAAGGTACACTACACAAATATGCGCAGTGTGTTAATGGATTGTAAACGACCGGGTTACTGGTCTGTAAGGGATTTCATGATCCAAACTCCTTTATTATGTTTTAATATATATATATATACACACACACACACACATATATATATATATATATATAAAGCGACAGCCGAACAATGAACTTGGGATTATGGAAAAACAATGGGAATCAACCGCAAGTACAATTTCAGCCAAAATAAAAAGCAACACTTTTGTTTGGTTTTCACACAGCAAGCATTTTTGGCATTTTTATTCTTTGACAGATTAGACTAGTAAATCAATACAGTTGTGTACACAATTCTTTTATTGATTTCAGTTACGGGCCATGTCATTAGGCATGTAAAGCCATTGATACTCCTCATTCTTGGGTCCCCATCTAACCTGACGTACGGATCCAACGGCGGCTTAACGTGACGTCAGCGACTTCATGTGGTGTCATCAGGTGGCACTCTGACCACCACGCAGTCAAATCCAGCCCGGTCCTGGAGGAGCGAATATTATCCGGCCTGGCAGACGTTCAGGCGCAATTCATAAGATGTGACGGAGCAACTTTGACCGGTGCAGCAAAACCAGCTTATTAAAGGAAATGTTCGCATTTCCCAGGACGCAACCTTGAATGTCATCTCTGTGAGAGCTTGGCGTTCCCACCGCACACAAGCAGTCTTCCTTAAATAATCGTTGTCGAAGGCCCAAAGACGGCGTAATTCATCCACGCGTATCTGCCAGGACTTGTAACTATACATCAACACTGAACGAACAGAGGCATTGTAAACCCTTCTTGTTTTCGAAGTTGAGATCACCCAACACTACAAGTGCCCCAGATTGACAAATGCCGAGCTGGCTTTGGCGATGTGAAATGAAACTTTCTTGCTGGTAGTTCTGATAGCAAAAACAGTGCTACTAAGTTTGATGATACTATCCACGCCTACAGTGTTCGCAAATTCAAAGGTGAGCACAAGCTCAAATGCGACCTAATCTTGTAGCGACACTTGACACTTCGAGGGGGCGAAGCTGCTGCCATGGGTATATGCGTAGACCGCCATACGACTCAGAATGAGTTGCATACTTTGTGAATCGTCACCACGTAAGGCGATATCATCCACATGGTCTGACTCCGTCTCCCGATCGCTCAGTCAGTAGAAGGTTCAGGTCAAAATTCTGGAAACCTAGAGCTGTCTACAGGAGGTCTTTGATTGCAAAGTTTTAGAGCAATAGGAACATAGGGCCTCCCTTGTGAACATCGCTATTGACTGTGAAGGGTGCGGAAAGATTGCCGTATACATCCATTCTGCCAAAGATATGAAGGTAAACTGGGCGTAGGATTGTGGTATAGTTCGCTGCTATCAAGTTCATCAGCAAGAACGCCATAAAGCATTTTGTGAAGATTCGTTGCAGTTAGACTCAAGCAGACAGCTACCACACATCTAGAAAAGCGCTAGACGGCCGTTTTGTCCAATTGGGACTCATCAGTAGCGCTCAGTCACCGAATCCTGCCGGATTCCAACTCACGACCATACTCTTGCGAGCCAGCGACTTATGCCACTGAATCATGGTTGACGTCAGAGACTGCCATGACTGATGCCTAACTTGGATACAGCGCAACTCATCCTCCACTGTCATGCATGTCATGAACGTGCAGAGAACAGTGCTGGCTCCCAGAGCCAGCAACTTACGTGCCACCTCGATTGGTGGCGGTTTGCTAAGGAGGTCGTTGCTCTGGTGACCAACCCTGTCCTCTGCACGTTCATGACATGCATGAGGAGAGGAAGAGAAGCGCTATACTTCAGTTAGATATTAGTCATGGCAGTCCCTGCCGTCACGCATGGCTCAGTGACATAAATAGCTGGCTCGCAAGAGTAAGGTTGAGGGTTGGAATTCGGCAGGATTCGGCGAATGAGCGCTACTGGCAAGTCCCAATAGGACGAAAAGACCGTCTATCTCTTTCCTGGATGTGTGGCAGCTGTCTGCTTGCGTCTAAATGCGACACCTTCACAAAATACACAAGAATTCCCGCACTACCTACAAATAATTCTTAAAGCCTGTCGATCGACTGAGTTGAATGCAGCCAATATGTCTAGGAATGTGACAATAGTGGACCATTGGTAAATGTGGCGACGTCCAAGAAGCAGCAGGAACGTGAAAATTGATCCACGCATCCACGGCCGGGACGGAAACGAACTAGATGTTCAAGGCCATATGATTCAAGTATTGGAGATAGTCTACTAAACAGAATGGATGTCAACAACTTTGAGGGAACTGAAATAAGACTAGTTTCTCTTTGATTGACACAGGAGGTGCGTACTCCTTTCATGAAAGTTTTAAGACAAGGAAACTGTGCTCTTATGAGTGCTCGCTTTCACCTAGAGATCGCATAATGATGTTAGTAAATATATACAAATTATAGAACAGTAGTATGGGAGTTGAATTTTCTAGGTAGCAATCCGTCACATCTATGCTCACTCAGACAGACGTCAGATGACCGGAAAAACACTGTACGCGCGTTTTATCCTATCGAGAATCGTCGGCAGTGCGCATTCCATCTAACCCTAGTAGGGCTCGAACCCGCAGCTCGACTATCGCCAGTCCGTAGTCGAAACCACTGAGCTAAGGGGGAAGAACACCGACTATCGTGACTGCGCACTGCTGACGATTCCCGAAAGGATGAAACGTGCGTACGGTTCTTTTCCGGGCGTGTGACGGCTGTCTGATTAAGACTAGATGTGACGTGTTTCTGCCTATGATTTACAAATTAGCTTTAGACATTGTTTAGACCGTACAAAGTACAATGGTTTCTTCTGCTTGCGTCAATTACGAAAGTGTCAACTCATCGGTACTGACGATATAATCTCTACTGTTAGAGAAGTATTTCCAATCAAATTCATCAACTCATTGTGCAGATAGACAAGTGATCAGAATCACGGGCTTATCACAACTCACCTGCTGCTTTCGTAAGGCCGCCACTTGCTCATCCAATTCGGAGATACGCCTTTTCAGCGTGGTGTCCGCTTGCATCTGGAAATTAAAGCACATGGAAAAACTGTGCTCAGAGAAGAGACACTTGTACACACACTAGCCTTGGAACGGGTGATCTCTTGGTATTCTTACTATGTCGGTCCGTAGTTTGTCCGGTAAGTAAGAAACTAATATGCTACAGTTCACACATCTAGCGTACCTTCACTAATTGGGCTTTGAACAACCCGCCGTGTGGATGAATCACGATACTCCATCTCTATTTCTGTTCAAAGCGTTTCTTGTTACTCTGGCCGTCGCAGAGGATAAGAAAAAGAGCCTTATCTACTGCATCGAGCTGGGTGGAAAGGGGTTTGGGCGCTACTGCTCAAGCCATCTCGTCTTCTTATTCATTCCCTTACGCTTTTTCACCCTTATTGTCCCGTTCCAACACCATTGTTATCCACCAGTTTTCAACCCCCATTCTTGGCCATTACCCAACAGGCTTTGCTAGGATTTTATAGTTTCCATTCGCTTGGAAACGCGGAGCGTCACTCCTGTCCTGTCGACAAGCCCATTTCCAAGCAAGCTTTCCACCCCAGTTCGTCGCCTTCCATTTGGACCCACGATCCTCCTTCAGGTTGGCATACCTCAATGTACACGCGTTGCTGCAGACTGGTCAACAGGTAGCACTTGCTCGAACATTAGAGACCCTCTCACTCGATATCTGCTGCTTATCGGAGACCCGTCTGCAAAACTTAAGCTCTGTGCTCACTCTGCGATCCCCTTCAGGTGAGACCAGCAGTATTTTCTCATCGCACCTATCCGGTGATGATGCAACTTCGAGCATCGGTCAAGCTGGTGTTGGCATTGACCACAGTCCCCGTGCTGAAGCTGTTTTGGTTGATTGAATCGTAATCAGTAGCCGGATGTGTGCGGTCCGGTTGACTGGCTTGTTCAAAGCTCCGAAGTCGCGTGGGACTAATAGGTGTCCATTTGTCATTGCCGCGCTCCCGCCCCCGCAAACTCTAGTGATGATTTGATAAAAAACGACTTCTATCGCCAATTAAACGAACTCCTTCGCCACAGAAGAAGCACGGACACCGTTGGTCTGGCGGGGCATCTGAACGCTCAAGTTGGAAAATTATCCATTGATGAACTGCATCTGGGAGGTCAGCACGGTGTAGGCTCCCGTAATGATAACGGTGAGCGGTTACTTCATTTGTGCAAACAAGCCCGATTATTTCTTGCGAGCACTAACTTCCGACACAGCATACGCATGAAGGTGACTTGGCGCACCCAGACTCGAACTAGCCTTGGACTTAAATCGCTCACATTTCAATCAGTTACCGATGGAGAGGATGCGTCCAAAACTGCAGCTTGATTTAGAAGACAAGTGTGGACACCGATCATGCACTTGTATGTGCTGAGATGCGGATGTGTTTTGGCGGACGCCCACGACGACGCTGTGAGCGCATTGACACCAGCCAGCTGGTGAAGCCAGCTTTTCCGTTGCGTATCAAAATACGCTGATATGCGGGTTAAGTAAGCGCGCACTGAAGACATTTGAAGGCCACTGGTCGCATGTTCACCAGACTTCACTAACAGCGGGAAAATCGTCATGCCGTAAGTCTATTAGCCAGTATGGACATTGGGTCTCTTCGCGGTCTCTGGAACTTATTGGTGCTCGTCGGCATATTCCGACTGGAAGTGAACACAATGAAACTCGCAAAGAGCTCCGGGCAAAACTCCGTGCTAATATGGAGTGAGACTGCAAATCCTGGTGGTCTCATCGTGCTTCAGTGCTGAAAGTGACCGCTTCCCTTTGTAACCATCGAACGTTCTTCCGTCTGCTACGGGAAACGGGCAGCAGGAGACCTGGTCTTTGGAAAACGATTTATAACCAGAGTGGACGGACTATCGACAACTTCTCTAAACGTTTGGAGCGTTTAGCTGAGCAGTTTAAAAAGCAATTTAATCGGCCGGAATTGTTCGGTTCTTTACCGGCCAGTGATCGCCCTGCTCCGTGGACTGTCCATTTGGATCCGCCCTCTCGCTCAGAAGTCAAACGTGAGATCGGACTGCAGAAGTTTAACAAAGCCGCATGACCAGATGGCTTTCATCCAGCCCTCTTCAAATGCGATGGCCATGCTCTCGTTGATGATTTACTCGAATTACTAATAAAACTGTGGACTGAAGGAAATAGTTACTATCTTCAAATGACGATCGTGTTCGGAATGCTGCAACCATTAAGGACTCAGTCTGTTCCCGTTGCCTCCAAATTGCTTGCCTCTTTCCTTCTTCACAGACTGACTGGCGCTCGTGAAAGCCAGAGTCGGGAGGAGGAAGCCGCTTTTCGTCGGGGTCGTTGCTGCATCGACCACATCTTCACCTTGCGTCAGTTTTTGGAGCACGGTCCCACATATCCGCGACCTGTTCTACTCATGCTCCTCGACATCAGTGTCTTTGCTTCGGTTGGTCGATGTGCCCTTTGGGACATTTTACTCAGGAAAGGTGTGCCCGTGAAATATGTAAATATTATCCGCGCATCATACGCACGTAGCACAGGCAGAGTGAGGGCTTACGGCAAGCTGTCGCCGCTCTTCAATATCTCCAGCGGTGTGAGACGAGGATGCCGGCTGTCACCTTACCTCTTCAAGTTCGCTATTGACGAGGTCATGGAAATCGCGTTCACATACCTCGATTTAGAATGGTGTGGAGTTGCTCCCAGGAGAACAATTTGGACTTAGAGTATGCGGACGATATTGCACTCATCTTTGTCAACTCGCCGACGTGCCAAGCTCCATTGGGAAGATAAGCACTGGCTGTCAGCCGTTTCGGGCTTTGCTTTCCACCCTCGAAGTACATTGCCTTCCTTCAATATTGGGAGGGACCGCGTCCTGCGTTAGACCTTGGTGGGAATCAGCTAGAAGTCGTTAGGAAATTCAACTATTTGGGCAGTTGTTTCAGCTCCTGTGGAATCAAGGGCGAGGACCCTGACGGTAAAGTAGAATCTCAAGACACTTTTACTAACCTTCGTCACCTTTGGCGCCGGCGTGACATCACTCCCTTCCGGAAGGGTAGTGTTTACAATACAGTGTACGTCTGGCTCTACTGTACAGATGTGAATACTGCCCCTTTAGATCCACGGACATAAAGGGACTCGTTACTTTCGACTACCGGTGCCTTCGCAGTTTGGCTCACATCTGGTGGGAACACCGCGTGAGCAACGAGCGTGTTCGATGCCTTGTTTACGGCACAGGAAAAGGAACTGAACCCCTCAGCACTGTCATTTCACGCACCAGGTTCCGGTGGTTCGACCACGTGTTGTGCATGCCAGCCCATCGACTTCCGCGACGTGCGTTGTTTGCGTGCCGGGGGCGTGAATGGCCGAAGAGGAGTGGTGGCCAAGCGATGAATTGGTCAAGAGAAATGAAGGCCCTCTCTTCGAAGCTGGCCTTCGTGGGAGCGCCACGGCTCCCTGTTTGTGGTCCAAGACGATGAACACGTCTGGCTAGATACACTTGCTGACATGTCTAGGAGCCGACTTTAGTGGCTTTCGTGCTGTAAGTTTCTTCGTCCCTCCCCATCTATCTTAGCCTTCCCTCCAACCACGATCTCACTTAACCTAATCTAATTTTGCATAAGAATACTTTCCTTGCCTAGTACCCAGTTGCTAGCTTTCCAGAAAACTGCCCAACTGTTGCTGATATCTCAGCTGACTTGCGTCTGTTGCATCTAGTTTTTTTTTATTTATTGCGGCACAGTAGCTGATGTGTTTTACACCTGTATCTAACGAATATAATAATAATAACAACCAAATAACACCATTCCCGCTTATCTTCCAGTTATGCCCTTGGTTTCTTTGGAATATGGCATTAGGCCGCACCACTCGTAGTAGATGGAAATAACTGTAATCCACCTAAATCAGTGCCGCCGAATCGCGGGCTTTACCACAGGGATAGAAGGTCCTTGATGTCCCATTTCCAACACATTCCTTATTTGGGCTTCTCAGGTAGAGATGGCCGGAGCTGTGAGCGGACGTTTGGAAAATGTAGTTTGTTGGTTGCTCACCAGTCTACAGAGTACAGGAGATTGTCAACGTTTAAATGAGAAATATTGACTGAGCAAACAATCGAGCTATTTGTATAGACCACGTAAACAGAACTGCACCGGTGAATGTGTAATACTGGATTTCAGCGGGAAATTGGGTTTGTTTGAATAGACTGTATAATGTCAATTTTGTGATATCATCACAACTTACTTGCTGCACTACAGCGCTGAGTGTCCTGTTCTCTTCCTGGAGGTTCGTCATTTGTAGTATTAAATCGTCCACTAACGCAGTTAACTGGAAAATTATACAAAACAAGACAGATCACCACATAAGTATTTGTCGCTGGTTAGAAGCCAGATTTGATAGGGATATATCGGTTTGTACGGATACATATAGTGAATGTATAATTAGTATATTGTATCTAAGTAATCTTCTGAGAAGTTCTGTTGCATCAAAACTCAACCTGGTATCCATCACCCGTCAGGAAAGCACAGGACACACCTTTCGTGTTGTCAGGCTTTGTCAGAATTGTCCGCTTCAGCCGAGGCTAACGGGATTTGAACACACGAATTTCCTCAAAAGATATGATGTTTGAAGCGTGTAAGCCGTCGGTGACGTCACCTAGGTGTCACGATTGCTAGCTGATATGATAAAATGCGGCCTAACCTCTCTTTCAGCGCATCCTGTTTAGAAAAGATAAATGAGATCCAGATGTGCGATTTTCCTTGCTAGTTCGCGATGATGTGAAGTGATGTCCAACTTTCTTCGGTATAGTGACGGTCGTGGTACTAGGAGGAATTAGCCGAATTGTTTTCGTTCGGTGAATCTCACCTCATGATATCTGACGACTGCGTAACCTGTGCACATATCTTAACGCGCAATGACGTTAGGATTAGAGTAATTTATCTATAGGGGGTCCACATGTGCATGGTGAATGAATTCGTGGATACCATGGATGGGTCAAAGGGTACTAGAACATCGAGAAAAGGAGAAACATCATTGTTGTTGTTGTTGTTGTCAACTTTTATCTGGTTATTGACAGGAAATTTAGCAACACGAAACACCCAGAATGCCAGCGTTATGTATACAATCCAGACGATGAGGGTTTTGTTAGCATTGCCCATCTCAGTGAAGCAATGCAGGAACTGTTGTTTGTAGGCTAAAAAACAAAATTCCTGACAAGTCCCATAGGATTTTTCGTGTGAAAATCACAGGTGACAATCAAGTTAGGCGCAGCACGTATGTGAGTGTTCTTGCCTGGAGTTTGAGGGGGGTTCGATCACTAAACCATTTCACAACGCTAATTTTCCGATTTTAATGGACACAAGCCAGATTATGTTGTGTAAATGTCGTCATGGATATCCAAGTCGTTTTTGGAACATTGAAAAGGTTGACGGATTAAATAAATTCGCTTGAACGGTGTGCCAGGGATGTACTACACTCGGAGGGAGAAAAGATTTCATGTACATTCCAATATGCCGTACGTCCTGGCCAGCTTAAACTGACGCCTCTCTGACCTGTTTTAGCTGAGTTAACAAAATCTTACCATGTGTGATTGGAGTTACTTAGAACCTGCTACAACATTATGAGATTTCCCGTAGAATCCAATAAGGTCCATTGTGCAATGTTAGAAATTTTAGGTTGAGTTGACAAAGAAGCTGGGACAAACCCTTAAGGTACTTTGTTGCTGTGCGCCAAAGTGCACTTACACTTGCGTTTACAGCGAAAAGGCATTTGGCGAGCAGTTAAGTCCCGTGGATCCGGTTACTGGAACGTATGATAATGCTGCAGTTGTGACCAGAAAAGATGAATGAGACAGGAAGATAAATAAATAAATGCGTATATTTGCCGATAAACAGTACACGGCCCCATATGCGGGAGCGATCATGTGTATAGTGAATAGATTTTAATTTTTATGCGGCGTAAATCATAAGAGTAAAGGAAATTTAAATGATAGGATTTTGGATCACGCTTTTCCCTTCGGGTTCTAGATCCGAGCACCTAATATGAAAAATCAGCCATATTTGTGTCATCATTCTCTAGTTTGTGGAGCTCAGGAGTAGATAATAAATGAGAGAGGATACTAAGCTGCACAGACACAGGATTTGGTCTTGTAGGTAATGACATGTAGTTGGTAAGCTGGTTGTAAGTGAATATCTGTTCAAATGTTCTTTGTACCAGATTCTGTCAATGCTTCCGGAGTTTGTTGTGAGTCAAACATCTTCAACACATTTGATCTAGTGAGAAACGTCTGTAGGGAATTTTGAAATGTGACATAGCCTGCACTCAAGCGGATCTGTAGGGGTAGTTTGTTCCACAGATCAGTGTATCTCACTAAGAAGCAATTCGATCGATTTTTATGAGTTGCAAGATTTCTGCGTATCAAGTAGCCGCTATTACGTATGGGGTAGACTGTAGTCTTCCGTATTTCAAATGCGGTGGTGTCTGCGAAAATTCGTTGGTTTAAAAGGTTGTAGAAGTGAACGAAATTGTTCTTTAAGCGTCTCAGCCAAAGAGGATCCAGTTGGAGCTTTCGACAACGATCATAATAACCCAGGTTTGAGCAGCACCCCATGACCAGCTTGGTATATGATCGTTGGACGTCTACCAGAGCCGTTCTGTCTGTCTTTCTCAATTTGCTGTGAACGATAGTACAATATTCCAGAGTCGGTCATACTATTGTCTTGAATGACTCAAGTCGTGCTTCTGGTAGGGAGAAAGCTCTGGTGATATATCCGCATAACTGCCTTGCTTTCGCAACCTGATAAAGCACATGTTCGGAGAATTTGAAAGCGTTGGAGTACCTAATTCCTAAGTTCCGAACTGAATCAGATGTTGGGATCACTTTTCCGGCTAGTGTGGTAGAGCCTTCTGGGATGCGACATCTGTACTAAAGTACTTAGGATTTCACTGCGGAGAACTTCCTTAATAAACGCTCACTAGCTTTATTTAATGTGGATAGGTCTTCACCGATGTTTCTCAGGCACATTTGTAGTTTGTCTGGATGAAATGTGTAGGCCAGGTTGATGTCATCTGTAAACAGAAATGACTGTCCATGTTTGATCGGGTCACATATGTTGTTTACGTAGATTAGGAAAAGGATTTGGTATTGGGTGCTGCCCGCCTGAATACACTGCACAACCACGACGCGTTTCGATGTAATTTCATCTCATCAGGTGGAGATAGCAGGCTTCGAACCCGCGAGCATTGGAATAGTAGTCGAAACCTCTACCCATTTGGCTACCGGGTCACGGCGGTCAAAGCTTGTCACAACGGTAACTGACTAATTGGAGGGTTCAAAGCCTGCTATCTCCACCTGATGAGATGAAATGACATCAAAACAAGTCGTGGTTGTGCAGTGTATTCGGGCGCGCAGCACCCAATTCCATCTGCTTTAACTACGGTCCCAGTGATCGCAATGACTAAGGTTCACTTCAAAGTGAGCCGCGGTCCACTTTGAGATTGAGCGTCGCAATCCAATCACACAATGTGTATTCCAGAACTGACCCTCCAATTAGGAAAAGTAGCGGTCCGAGCCCACTTACCTGGAAGACGCCGCTGGTTATTTGTTTGGGTGTAGAATATTGCGGACCGATTTTAACTACCTGGGTTTGACCGTTCAGATATGAGTCAAAACAGTTTAGCCGAGGATTTCCAGTACTTTATGACTCTAGCGCAGACAGCAGTGGCTTGTGCGGCACGCTGTCGAACGCCATTTGCATGTCCAACAGAAGTATAATGATTACCATTCCTCTGCCAATCATACTCGTAACGTGATCGAGGAATTGTAGCTAGCGGGTATTGCAGGAGCGTTTTGAGAGAAAACCATTCTATAAGGGGTGGATCAGATCCAGTCTTGTAAGAAATTGGTTGATGTTCTTCTTGACTATTCTCTCTAGGGCTATGGAAGCAGCAGAGATGTAATTTATTGGGCGGTAACTTGACATTTTATTTCTCGGGCTACCTTTGTGCTTAGGCATTATAATGGATTGCTTCCACTGCGTTGGAAAGCAGCCGATAGTGAGAGAAAGTGTGAAGATGTTTGCTAACAGTATAGCGGGGTTTTTTCCTCTGAGTTTTATAACACTTGGAGAGATGCGATCTGGGCTTGGACGGGTTGATGGTTTTATGGATGCGATGACACTTTGCACCTCTCTTAACGTCACAGCGATATTGCAGTGTAGTTTGGTCGTTCTTTTTGGAAGTGGAGGATGAAATGGCTGAGTGTTGGGGACAAAACTGGAGGCAAAACTAGAGTTGATAGCTTCGCATATATACAAGATGTCGCGCATTATTGAACCATCGTCTAGAGCTAAAGTTTCAATAGCGTGATGTGGTTTAGGGTTCCTTCTTTGAAGTAACGTCAATGTAGGTTTTTTTCAGAATTTCTAAATACCCGAAGGAATGAACCGATGAACACTTCGGGGAAAAGAAAAACAATGGGTATAACTGTTAGAAGGAACGGTTGACAAAACGGGTATTAGGGTGAATAAAAGAGGGTTGTCTACTTTGTAACGGCGTCATACCGAATCCTCCGGACTGCGTTAAAACAACTGCGTGTAACAGTCACACCAACTCATCCTTAACAATTAACGCTGCCTCACTGGTTGGTGAGTCCGAGATTGTAACGAAGCAAGCGCGATTTCCAGCAAACTAAATGACGAAATAGCTCGTAAGCACCCAGATTCATTAGAAGCTACAGTCAAACACCACATTTATTTGCCAACATTGGAAAACTAATCTGCAGCGCTTTTACTTCTCTGGTTCCTCAAGTTGCAGCCATTTTGCACATAGGCTGACGTCAGGAGACGATCCAGTTCCTCATATTTTAACGTGCAGAGACCCTGTTCCCTACAGATGGGCTAAACGCACCGAAACCCGACAAACACTGTTAGATACTTCATACGTACCAAAAAAGTTACTCACAAACGTCGTGCCTTTCGTACCTGTATTCATCAAAAAATTTTCATGTTGTAAAGGTGTGTGACGCTGACATTGATATAAGGTGGACAAAAAGGTCCAACATTTTGCTAACAGGTGTGGTAGGTCTTCAAAAGGGATCCCATTCTGCAACTTCAGGTTCTGACGTATGCTGTACCCAAACTCCACTGAACGGATTGGTATGATCCGGCCACCGTTCATCTTGTGTGTCGAAGATTTTTCATGCTCAGAATAGTTTGTAGTGGCTAATGTCACATCCGGAGCCACCGCTTTGGTATCCCATCATCCATACAGCGTTATCGAAAGAAATGCTAAATAGCAGCCCCATACAAGCATGATAAGCTGTACCAACC